GAGCTGAGGATGAATCAGGACGTCCGTGTCAGCAGCTTTTATACCCGTCACCTCCGGGACGCCACCAATTAGACGCCTCAGTCGTCATCTGTAGGAACCAAGCAGCGACAGTCACCTGCACACTCATTTTAACACAAGTTGATGATGCAGCGAATCACCATGTAATTCAGTGAGCGGGTGGAGTCAGCGTAAAGAAATATGGTCGCTCCTGTGGCAGGGGATGCGAAGTGGGCTGATATTCGACTGGCGTCTGACTGAAGGAGGCCATTTTGGATGGCTGCTACTGTACCTCCCTAAAATAAATAAAATAAAAACAGCGCTTTAAAGCTTCATTTCAGGTGAATTCCATGTTTCAGACACAAGCATTTAATGTGACTTTAAATATAAGTCTGTTTAAAGAATATGAGATTTTTTGTGAGGGGTTGTTCGATATCAGCGACATGCCAATGAACTTTTTTCCTTTTTTCTTTTTTTATAGTAGCTGAAGAACTACTGAAATTATGTTCCGATTACACATAAATACATTAATTAATTCTGCCGGTAAAAAAGGAATTACTTTAGAATTAGGATTCAATCTGTGATAACAACCTACTGGGAGGAAGGAGGCACAATCTGAGCCATTCTACTGGAATAATAACCGCTAATAATGGCTGTTTTAGGGGATGATAACATCCGAAGCGCCTGCGAGCTGAGATTATTTCCAACTTCTGGAAGTGAACAAAAGCATAATTCCTTCATTTATCGACCACCTGGAAAATAAAGCAAATTTTTCTTAAAATAAGTGCATTTGTTCTTAGATTGAGGAGGTAAAAGAGACATCTTGCAATAAATAAAATAAACCCAGTCGCATTGTCTTATTTCAGGTGCATATTATCTAATTTGTTATTTTAAGAATAAAAATATTCATTCCATTGACAAACTATCTCTTAGCTACTGAAATTAAGGGTAAATGCACTTAATTTAAGACATTTTTACTTATTTCTAGATTTTTTTCTCCAGTGAACGCCATGCTTTGATAATTGCAGACACAGATTTTTGCTAGAAAATGTTTTGATATTGATCAGTATACTTTAGTTTCTTCTTCTAGAAGCAGTTTTGTTATTTTTCTTAATATATTCGGGCAAGTTATTACATTATTTATTTTTGCCATCAAAATCTCCATATTTTTTAATGTTACAAAGGTAATAAGGTCTTGTCCTGGAGTCCAGTAACACTACTGGCTTGAAATGTGGATTTTCCAAGTAATTCACTGAGTGGCCTATAAAGGGTTAAAGCTGAATCCACTGCTTTGAGGGGGGGTCGAGTTTCCTCTATTCCTCAGAACCTAAATGCTGTTAAATGTTTTATTATTGATTTAAAAGCTGTTGAAAAAATACCTTTATAAAATAATTAAATCTCTTCCTCGTAAGAGACTAAAAACAGGCGTCTCTGTTTGGTTTGACTCTGATTAATGATCCAGATTCTATAAACACTGAAAAACTGAAGTCCAATATTAGCGGGTCTGTTGGATCATTGAACTCCTGCTGATGGGAAGTTTAAACTGGGAGCTGCTGCACCAGGCTGGTACCTCGGTTTAGACCCGGTTCCTGCAGGGTCCGGAGAAAACTCCCCGGTTTCTGTAAATCGCAGCAAATTAAAAGAAACAGAAGTTTGTTCTTCAGGATTCAGGAATCGGCTACAGAAATGCATCTCGGTCGCTTCCAGGTGGAAACACTAATCAGTTTTAGTCACATTTTAGTCATTACTATATCTGATAGTTTTAGTCAGCTTTAGTCGACTAAAACTCAAAAAGGTTATAGTCCGTTTTATGTTGCAATAAAAAGTGAACCTTTAAAATTTGGAAAAACAACCTGATTCTTTCCCAGACTGACAGCTCTATCCTAGATGCTACAATAGCTGGGTATAGAATGCTGCCGTGCAGATCATCATTGCTGTTGGGCAAAAAAAACTTGGATTTATAGAATTCAAATAAACGTTTTTATGAATTAATGTCCTACTTTATACAAAAGCGTCTCACAAAAGCTGTGAAAATAGCAGATCTAGTTCAAAACATCATATTGGTTAATATAGCAGACAGAGAAGCTAACATAATGTCCAATAAAGGAATGATTTTAGACATCCAAGGTTTCCATCCCAAAGCAAACACTTCCTGATCTACTATGAATTATGCATTAAACACAGATCTATAAAATCAGAATTACTCCAAAAAAAGCAAAGAACAAAAACATTCTTCTTTCTACTTTGGTCATTTTGGTTTTATTTCTGAGAATTACTCACTTCCTGCTGCTCAGGAGTCAAAGTAGATTTAAATTCACAGGGTTTGATATAAAAAAATAAAATAAAATACAGAGAGAACCTACATAACTGCCTTGTAATGCCATGGCAACCCAGACCTAAATTGAATAATTATGCTAATTAAAATGTTGAAATATTTAAAGGAAACAGAAAATGTTTTAATGACGATACAAGGAAACATTTACATCATATTTAAATATTCAGAGATCTATGAACCTTTTCATCTGGATCTTTAAAGAAATAAATGGAATAAAATGAAATATTTGCTTTGGATATAATTTAGGGATTCATTTTGGTGGAAATTAAAGAATGTTTAGCTTCTCCTCCTGTGAGCTGGAAGAAATAAAATCTTGATGGTTAAACAAAGGGATTTTTTACGCCTGGCAGAGGATAATCAGCCACATCTAGTTTATTAAGTAGCGAGAGCAGGAAGAGCCGTACTGCTGAGAGCGACCCGGTGTTCTGTCAGTCAGCACTCATTTATCCCTTAAGTTTTATAGATTTTTTTTTATTATTTTGTACATTACTAATGGGATTCATGCCCATCGAGGTAGTTTAAAAACTATTTTTCGTACAAAACTGCAGAGGCAACGCAAATCGGACATCTTGAGCTGAGTATTGACTGTCAGTATGCTGATCTGACAGAACGCCGTCACTGTTGAGTGTAAAGCGCAGACTCTGAGCTCCGTGCACAAAGACACACTTCTGCACAAGCACAGCTGGAAGATCAGTTTGTCAGAGTTGAGCGCAGTACCGGATCATTACGGATAGTTTTCTCCGCTGATCCACCTGTGGTCATGCAGAATGAGCAGCGCAGCACGCCAGGTGGGCGTGATGACCAAACAAGACGCCTCAGCACGACTGATACTGCTTAGCAGATTACTGATTACAGCACGACGATGCAGTTTAAACGTCTGACCAACGACCCGCTAACATTTTTATTTAGTCTTGTTGACGAAAACTCATACCTATGACTAGTCATGTTTCTCAAATATCCACGTTTATCTCGTCGGTTTTCATTATCGTCATGAAAAAAAGGAGCGTCAACAAAATNTCAGGAAGTCCGCGTCAGCAGCTTTTATACCCGTCACCTCCGGGACGCCACCAATTAGACGCTTCAGTCGTCATCTGTAGGAACCAAGCAGCGACGGGCACCTGCACACTCATTTTAACACGAGTTGATGACGCAGCAAATCACCATGTAATTCAGTGAGTGTGTGGAGTCAGCGTAAAGAAATATGGTCGCTCCTGTGGCTGGAAGTTGGAGGGGATGCGAAGTGGGCTGATATTCGACTGGCGTCTGACTGGGAGAGGCCATTTTGGATGGCTGCTACTGTACCTCCCTAAAATAAAATAAAAACAGCGTTTTAAAGCTTCATTTCAAGTGAATTCCACATGTTTTAGTCACAAGCATTTACTGTGACTTTAAATATAAGTCTGTTTAAAGAATATGAGAGTTTTTGTGAGGAGTTGTTTGGTATTAGCGACGTGCCAATTAACTTTTTTCCTTTTTTTTTTTTATAGTAGCTGAAGAACTCCTGAAATACACATAAATACTTTAATTAATTCTGCCGGTAAAAAAGGAATTACTTTAGGATTAGGATTCAATCTGTTATAACAACCTACTGGGAGGAAGGAGGCACAATCTGAAGATATTCTACTGGACTAATAATGGCTATTTTAGGGAATGCTAACATTCGAAGCGCCTGCGAGCGGAGATTGTTTCCAACTTCTGAAGGTGAACAAAAGCATAATTCCTTCATTTACCAACAACCTGGAAAATAAAGCAAATTTTTCTTAAAATAAGTAAATTTGTTCTTAGATTGAAGAGGTAAAAGAGACATCTTGCCAATAAATAAAATAAACACAGTTGCATTGTCTTATTTCAAGTGCATATTATCTAATTTATCTTATTTTAAGAATAAAAATATTCATTCCATTGGCAAACTATCTCATTTACCTACTCAACCATCAGTCGAGCACAAAGCAAAGAGTCAAGCTAACCGTGCAAAGACGCATTTCTGCACAGCACAGCTGCAAGAGCAGAGTTTGTCAGAGTTGAGCGCGAAATACCATTCCAGAGCCGTACTGCTGAGAGCGACCCGGTGTTCTGTCAGTCAATACCCATTTATCCCTTTAGTTTTATAAGAAAAAATATTTAATTACCTTTTTTTTGTTTTCTGTTTTGAAGCGTACGGCGATCTGACATTAAATTTTTATATTTTTTGTACATTACTAATGGGATTCATGCCCATCGAGGTAGTTTAAAAACTATTTTTCGTACAAAACTGCAGAGGCAACGCAAATCTGACGTCTTGCGCTGAGTATTGACTGTCAGTATGCTGGTCTGACAGAACGCCGTCACTGTTAAGCGTAAAGCGCAGACTCTGAGCTCCGCGCACAGACACATCTCTTCACGAGCACAGCTGGAAGATCAGTTTGTCTGAGTTGAGCGCAGTACCGGATTGTTACGAATAATTTTCTCCGCTGATCCACCTGTGGTCATGCAGAATGAGCAGCGCAGCACGCCAGGTGGGCGTGATGACCAAACAAGACGACTGATACTGCTCAGCAGATTACAGATTACAGCACGACGATGCAGTTTAAACGTCTGACCAACGACCCGCTAACATTTTTATTTAGTCTCGTTGACGAAAACTTATCTCGTCGGTTTTCGTTATCGTCATGAAAAAAAGGAGCGTCAACAAAATTATTTTGTCATCTTTGACCAAAACAACCTTGGGTGGAAACTCTCCTTTTTTAGCAGATCAGAGCCGCTAACCTGACGTCGCTCTCCGTTTCTCTCTGTGGTGCGTTCAGGAGCGTCGGGAACGGGAGCAGCAGGATCTGGAGTTCGCCAAAGAAATGGCCGAAGACGACGACGACAGCTTCCCATGAGCCTCTCCTCTGGCTTCCTGTTCCAGCAGGAAGTAGTGTGTTAACAGACGACGTATTACCCACAATGCTCCCTGTTTCTCCCGTTTCCTGTGTTGCAGCTTTGAACTCTGCTGCTGTTTCTTGTTTTCTGAAACAAATAAATCCTGTTTTTTGTTTACTGGCTTGTTTTTTTTTTTTTTACTGAGTAAGCACAGGGGGTGTGCAATGGCTGCACACCACCAGGTGGCGCCGTTTGAAGCTATCCAAGTAACGGTGCTCGTTTTTTTTTTCTCTTTTAGCTGAAATGATAGTTGATCCAGTAAGTTTAGTCTCAAATGAAGCTAATCGACGATCTGTATTTGAAGACGAGAACAGAAACTCACGTTAGCCTTCAGTTTAGCCCCGCCCCCTTACACAAAAACAGTGCCAGCTTGTAGTGACATCATAGCTGCAGGAAGTCTGCAGTGACACTGAAATAATCTCTGCTTGGAAAAATGCTGCTGCCAAAAAAAATAATTTTTCTTTTATCGAGGGAATTCAGTTTTTTTCAGTGTTTGATTTATTTATTTTTTTCAACGGCAGATCTAACATCTGATGCCACTGATTTGGCTCCATACAAAAGTGCCACATTTCCTACAGAGCAAAACAAAAACGAGTCCCATTTGAAAGACAGTCTGTCCACATAATGAGGAAATATTTGGCCTTATGATTAATTATTTTTAGCAGTTTATCTCTCACTGAAATGGCTAGAAATAAAAATTGAGCTTGTTCTAAAAAGTAGGGTTATTTGAATGTTATGAGGATAAATCTAATTATTTACTCCAGTAGATGCAGTGATTCTGCATCAGATGCTGAAGTCAAGGAATGGGATCCAGTCA